ACAAAAATTAATTTATTTAATCCTCATAATAACCTATGAGTTAGATATTATTATTATCCTCATTTTGCAGACAAAGAAACTAAGACCCAGAGGAGTCAGCATGGACTTAGGATCTAACTACCTGGGTTCAAATCTCCACCATTGTAGAAATGTTTCCCCTTAAAGTCTTTGTGATTTTATATAAAATAATATTAATAGCAACCTCTTGCAGTTGTGAGGAGAAAGTGATATAATATATGCCAACTCTTTGGAACTATGTTTATACATAATGAGATCTCAAGTAGCTGTCATTATTTCTTGTTGTATGTTTAGATTGTTCACATGTTTCTAAATGAAAGCCTACTTTTTTATTGTTGGTTGATATTTCTTTTCAATCTTGAATCCTTTGCATTATATTTTATTTTCCTTATATAGGAACAATGCCACACAACCAAATAAGTCTATTAGCTTTTTTGCTACAATGAAAGGAACTTCAAGGAAAAGTTATGCCGGTGCAAATCAAAGCAGAATGGTGGTGTCCAAAGCCATGCTTATTCCATCTGAATTGAAAACTATAGAAAAAACAAATCCCAATATAAAGACAATACAGGTAATATTCTTAGAATCTGGAGTTTATTTGAAAATAAACTCAGCACTATGAAAAACTCAATTGAAATGTAAAGATAGAAAATATGCTCCTTTCAGATAATCGCTTATTTGTAATATTGAAATACTGTTTTTACCACATATTATTCCACAAAACATAATATTGACAGTTGTCTTCTATAACTAGTTATTGATAAGAATAATATTAGAATGGAATGAGAAACGTCTATTCATGACCTTAAGAACTAGTTGCTTATGGTATTAATTATATACATTAAAACTATTTTATTGTTTTCAGCAATATACTCTTGAAAATATAAAATTATTTGTCATAAAGTCAGTTATTTTGCCTCAGAAGATTTATAAGAATTGACTCTTTTAAAGTTTTAATCAAAGGATAACATATATACAGAAAAGAATATAATATATAACTTTGAATGGGTTCAGCATTTGTTTAGATGGGACATTAAAAGCAGAGTCCATAAAGGATAAAATTCATAAATTAAACTTCATCAAAATTAAAACTTTTTCTCTTTGAAAGACATTGATAACAGAATGCAAAGAAACGTGACACACTGGGGAAAATATTTACAAAGCATATTTTGATAAAGTACTTATAACTAAAATGTATAAACAGTCTTCAAAACAATATTAAGACAACCCAATTAAAAAAATTAGCAAAATGTTTGGGCTACTTTACCACAGTAGATATACAGATAGCATGGAAGCACATGAAAAACTATCAGTATTAATTGAAACCATAAAATACTGCTAAGTACCTATTAGAATGGCTAAAATTAAAAGACTGATCATATCAAGTTATTGACAAGTATGTGGAGAAACTAAAGTTCTCACACAGCTGGTAGACATGGAAAATAGAAAACAATTATTTGTCAACTTATTAAATGTTAACATATACCTACTATATCATCCAGCCCTTCCATGTCTAAGTATTTAGAAAGAGAAAAGCAAGTATATGTTTATATAAACGCTACTACATGGATGTTTGTAGCACCTTTATATATAATGGTGAAAAAATTAAGCCTAATTTTATTAAACAAATACTACATATTTGCACATATATATTTCATTTATCTGTGTGTATATATACATATGTATGAATACACATATATAAATATATATGCATATGTATATATACACACACAAATGAAGCATATTTTATATATATTTATAAAATTTTCTCCAGTGGTGAAAATATTTATTATATATGTGTATTTTCTCCAGTGGTGAAAGACTGAAAGCATTTCTTTTAAGATCCAAGAACAAAAGAAGGATGCCTGCTTTTACCACTTCTCTTCAACATAGTAGTAGCAGTCCTAACCTGGACACTTGGGCAAGAAAAAGAAATAAAAGGCATCCAGCCAGGCACGGTGGCTCATGCCTTTAATCCCAGCACTTTGAGAGGCTGAGGCGGGCAGATCACTTGAGGTCAGGAGTTTAAGACCAGCCTGGCCAACATGGTGAAACCCCATTTCTACTAAAAATACAAAAAAATTAGCCAGGCATGGTGGTGTGTGCCTGTAATCCCAGCTACTTGGGAGCGTGAGGCAGGAGAATCACTTGAATCTGGGAGGTGGAGGTTGCAGTGAGCGGAGATAGTGCCATTGTACTCCAGCCTGGGCAACAACCGAGACTGTCTCAAAATAAATAAATAAATAAAAGGCACCCAAATAGGAAAGGAAGAAGCAAAGTTTAAGTTCTCTCTGATGTGATCTTATATGTAGAAAACTGTAAAAAGCACACACACACACACACGCGCACACACACACAAACACAACTAAAAAATGAATTCTGCAAAGTTGCAGGATAGAAAAGACACACAAATTAGTTGCATTTCTAACAATGAATCTCCAAAAAGGAAATTAAGAAAAAGATTGCATTTATAATAGCATGATAATAAATACCGTACTTAGGAATAAACTTAATTAAGGAGGCCAAATATTTGTATACTGAAAACTACAAAACACAAAAGAAAGGAAAGAATACACCAATAAATGGAAAGACATTTCTTGTTCATTGACTGGAAGGCATAATAGTGTTAGTATGTCAATGCTACCTAAAGTGACTTACAGATTCGGCACATTCCTTACCAACATCCCAGTGATATTTTTTCAGAAATAGAAAAACCCACCCTAAAATGTATCTGAAATATCAAGAGATCCAAATAGCCCAAACAGTCTTGAATAAAAAGAACAAAAAGTGGCTCATGTCTATAATCCCAGCACTTTGGGAGGCCGAGGTGGACGGATCACCTGAGGTAAGGAGTTCGGGACCAGCCTGACCAACTTGGAGAAACCCTGTCTCTATAAAAAATAAAAATAAAAAAAGAACAAAGTTGGAAGTCTCATACTTTCTGATTTCAAATCTTACTACAAATCTATAGTAATCAAAACAGTGTGGTACTGGAATAAAGACAAACAAATGGAATGGAATAGCCCACAAATAAAATTTTACATATATGGTCAAATGGTTTTGACAAAGAAGCCAAGACTGTGTAATGGAGAAAAGACAGTCTCGTCAACAAATCTTGTTAGGGCAACTGGATATCCACATGAAAAAGAATGAAGTTGGATTCTTGCCTTATACCATCTACAAAAATAGAATGGATTAAAGACCCAAAATAAGAGCTAACTCTTTAAACCTCCTAAAGGAAAACAGGGAAAAGAAATTATTTGACAATAATTTCTTTCATATTACACCAAAAGCATATGCAGCTAAAGAAAATATATGTAGACCAATATATATATTGGTCTACATTAAAATTAGAAACTTCTATCAAAAGACACAGAGTGAAGAGACAACCCACAGGATGGTAGAAAATATTTGCAAATTATATATTTGATAAAGTGTTAATAACCAGAATATATAAATAACTACAAAATAACAAAAAACAGCCCAATTAAAATAATGGGCAAATAACTTGATTAGGTATTTCTCCAAAGAAAATGTACAAATAACAAGCACAGGAAAAGATACTCAGCTTCACTAAACATTAGGGAAATGCAAATCAAAAACACCACTCCATTGTGATGGCTACTATTTAAAAAAAAAAAAAACAAAAGAAGTTGGTAGGACATGGAGAAATTGAAACCCTTGTGTACTCTTGGTGGATTGTGAAATGGTGTGGCCACTGTGAAAAATGGTATGTAGGGCCAGGTGTGGTGACTCACACCTGTAATCTCAGCACTTTGAGAAGCTGAGGCAGGAAGATTGCTTGATGCCAGGCTCAGCACTTTGGGAGGCTGAGGCAGGAGGATTGCTTGAGGTCAGGAGTTTGAGACCAGCGTGAACAACATAGCAAGACCCCATCTCTATAAGAAAATGAAAAATCCACATGTGTTGGCAAAAGCCTGTAGTCATGGATGCTCAGGAGGCTCATTTGAGCCCAGAATTTCAAGGCTACAGTGAGCTATGATCGTGCCACTGCACTTTAGCCTTAATGACAGAGGTACATCCTATCTCAAAAAAACAAAGAAAAGATAAACAGTATTGTGGTTTTTCCAAACCTTAAAAGTAGAATTACTTTATGATTCAAGTAGGAGTATATATTCAAAAGACTTGAAAGCAGAGTTTCAAGCAAATATTTGTACAACCATCTTTATGTCAGCATTATGCACAATAGCTAAAAGGTGAAAGCAACTAAAGTGCCCATCAATAAATGACTGGATAAACAAAATGTGGTACATATAATGAAATATTCAAACTTGTAAGGAAAATTCATTAATGAAATTAAAATCCTACATTAGAAAAATATTCACTAATATAAATAATGTGCTATTGTAATGATGACATGTAAATAATAAAGAAGAAATTAAAAGGCAAATCAGAAAATATTCTGCGATGATAGATAATCAAGACACAACATGCCAAAGCTTATGGGATGCAGCTAAAGCACTGCTTAGAGGGAAATCTATAGATATACGTTCCTATTAGGAAGAAGAAAGATCTCAAATAACTTACCCTTCCAACTGAAGAAACTGGAAGGAAAAAGAGTGAATAACATAACATGAAATAAGCAGAAGGAAGGAAATAAAAAATATAGGAGTGGAAATTAATGAAATATTGAATAGAAAAACAATAGAGAAAATCAGTGAAATGGAAAGCTGGTTCTTTAAAAACATCAACAAAACTAAATAAACATTTAGTTTGACCAAGAAGGAGAAAAGATGATTCAAATTACTAGACTCAAAAATGAAAGAAGGTACATTACAACTGATTTTAACAAATAAAAAGGATTATAAAGCACTGCTATGAACAATTGCATACTGATGTGGTTTGGATGTTTGTCCCTTTCAAATCTCATGTGGAAATGTAATCCTCAGTGTTGGATGTAGGGCCTGGTGGAAGGTGCTTGGGTCATGGGGGTGGATCCCTGATGAATGGCTTACAACCACCCCATTGGAGATGAATTAGTTCTTGCTCAGTTAGTTCACCTGAGATCTGGCTGTTTAAAAGAGTCTGAGACGTCTCCCTTCTCTCTCTTGGTCCTGCTCTTGCCATTTGACATGCTTATTCCCCGTTCACTTTCTGCCAAAATTGGAAGCTTCATGAGGCCTTCACCAAGAGGAGATGCTGGTGCCATGCTTGGACAGCCTGCAAAACTCTGAGCCATTTAAGCCTATTTTCTTTGTAAATTAGTCAGCCTCAGGTATTTCTTTATAACAACACAAGAATGGGCCAATACGCATGCCAACAAATTAGATAGCTTAATTAAAAATGAACACATTCCTAGAAAGACAAACTACACAAAGAACTGGGTCTAGAGGAACTAGGCAATCTGAATACACCTATAAGAAGTGAGGAGATTAAGTTGGTAATTTTAAAAACAAAAACAAAACACCCACAAAGAGAAGTCCAGGCTCAGGTGGATTCACTGTTGAATTCTACCAAATTCTTCACAAACTTGTCCACGAAACAGAAGAGGAGGAAACCCTCTCCTATGACACCAGTATTTTCAGTGATACCACAACCAGACAGACTTCACAAGAAATTATAGACCAATATCTCTCATTAAAGTGGGTGTACAATCTCCATCAAAATAACTAGTAAAACAAATTTAGCAAAATAGTTACACATCACGACAGTGTTAGTTTGCTAGGGCTGTAAAATAACCACCAATCAGTTAAACAACAGAAATGAATTAATTTGCTCACTGTTGAAAGGCAAGAATTCCAAGATAGGTTTGATATCTTCTGAGGTTTCTCTTCTTAACTTGCAGATGGCTGTTTTCTTGCTGTGTTCTTACATGGTCTTTGTGCGCATGCATCTATAATGTCTCTGTGTGTCCTAATCACTTCTTAGAAGGGCAGCAATCGTAGTAGATTAGGGTTCAGCCTAACAGCCTCATTTTAACCAAGTAATATCTTAAAAGACCCATTTCAAAATATAGTCACATTCTGGAGTACTGATGGTTAGGTCTTCAATATTTGAAATTTGGAGGGGGACATCATTCAGTCCATTACAATGACCAAGTAGGATTTATCTCAGGGATGCAAAGTGGTTTAATTTGAAAAGCAATTAATTTAATACCTCATATGAATGTAATGAAACACAAAAATCACATAATCATCTCAGTAGACACAGAAAAAGCATTTGGAAAAAATCCAGCATCTTTTCATGGCGTAAATACACAACAAACTAGGAATAGAAGGAATTTTTCTCAACCTAATACAGGATTCACAAAAACCCCACAGCTAATATTGTACAATGACACTTAATCTCCTTATGATCAGGAACAAGTCCTTGCATTGCTATTCAACATGATTGTGGAGGATCTAGGCATGGAAATTACACAAGAAAAAGAAAAGACATCCAGGTTGGAAAGGAAGAGCTAAAAACATCTCTATTTGCAGATTACATCATGTTATGTATACAGACTCCTAAGGAATTCACTAAAAAACTATTAGGACTTGCAAATGAGTTTTGTAAGGTTGCCGGATACATAATCGATATACAAATAAGTTGTATTTCTGGGCACATGCATAGAACCATTTGAAAATTAAGAATGATTTTTTTCACAATAGCATTAAAAACAGTAAAATAGGAATAAATGTAATAAAAGAAATGCAAAATGTATGATCTGAAAACTATAAAACATTATTGAAAGAAATTAAGATCTAATTAAATGGGAAAGTATCCCATGGTCATGATCAAAAGACCTACTGTTAAGATCATTATACTCCCTAAACTGACCTATAAAGTTAACACAATTGTTACCAGAATTTCAGCTGACTTCTTTCTACAAACTGACAACTGATTCTAAAATTCCTATGGGGCTGGGCACAGTGGCTCACACCTGTAATCCCAGCACTTTGGGAGGCTCAGGTGGGTGGATCGCCTGAGGCTAGGAGTTCGAGACCAGCCTGAATAACATTGTGAAACCCTGTCTCTACTAAAAATACAAAATTAGCTGGGTATGGTGACGCATGCCTGTAATCCCAGCTACTTGAAAGTTGGAGGCAGGAGAATCACTTGAACTTGGGTGGTGGAGTTTGCAGTGAGCCAAGATCATACCATTGCACTCCAGCTTGGGCAACAAGAGCGAAACTTCGTCTCAAAAAAATAAAATAAAATTCCTATGGAATCACAGGGGACCTAGAAGAGCCAAAATCATCCTGAAAAAGAATAACAAAGTATGATGATTCTGATTTCCCTGTTTCGAAATTTACAAAGCAGTAGTAATCAAACTAATGTGCTATTGGCACAAAGGTAGACATGTAGATCAATGGGATACAATTGAGAGTTCGGAAATAAACCCGTTCACCTAAAAACTGATTTTTTATGAGTGCTGAGATTATTCAATGGGGAAAGGATATTCTGTTCAACGAATTGTGGCAGGATAACTGGATTGCCTCCTGCAAAAGAATGAAGTTAGACCCTTACCCCAGATTTAAGAGCTAAAACTGTCACGCTCTTAGAAGAAAACGTAGAGGTAAATTTTTATGACCTTGGATTTGGCAAAGATTGTTATATGTGACGCTAAATGCATATGTAACAAAAGAAAAAGTAGACAATTTGACCTTAAAAAATTTTAAATGCTTGCATCAAAAATATTCAAAGTGAAAGGAAAACGCACAGAATAGAAGAAAATATTTGTGAAACATATATCTGGTAAGAGCTTCTACCATTTATAAAGAACTCCTAAAATTCATTAATAAAGACAAATAATTAAATATTGGTCATTTCTCAAGAAACGATCTGAATGCTCATTTCTCAAGAAAAGATATACAAATAATTAAAAAGCATATGAAACTATGGTGGACATTATTAGTCATCAGAGAAATCTAAATCAAGCCCACAATGAAGTATTCACTTTTTACCCACTAGGATAGCTAGAATCAGAGTCCCATAACAAGTGTTAGAAATGAAGAAAGCAGGGCCGGGCGCGGTGGCTCAAGCCTGTAATCCCAGCACTTTGGGAGGCCGAGATGGGTGGATCACGAGGTCAAGAGATCAAGACCATCCTGGTCAACACGGTGAAACCCCGTCTCTACTAAAAATACAAAAAATTAGCTGGGCATGGTGGCGCGTGCCTATAATCCCAGCTACTCAGGAGGCTGAGGCAGGAGAATTGCCTGAACCCAGGAGGCGGAGGTTGCGGTGAGCCGAGATCGTGCCATTGCACTCCAGCCTGGGCAACAAGAGCAAAACTCCGTCTCAAAAAAAAAAAAAAAAAAAAAAAAGAAATGAAGAAAGCAGAACCTTCATACACTGCTGGTGGGAATATAAATTGGCCACTTTGTAAAATAGTTTGGAAGTTTCTCACGAGGTTAAGCAGTGTTATCATATGAACAAGCAATTTTACTCCTAGATATATATACCCAAGAGAAATAAAATGTATTTCCACACAAAAAGGTATACACAAATGTTTCTAGTAGCATTATTAATAATAGACAAAAGGTCTATTATGGATAGAACTTTTAATAGATAAAAGGCCCTTTTTCCATTGGTGGACAACCTAAATGCCCATCAATGGAAAAATGGCTAAAGAAAAGGTTGTATGGCCATACAATAGAGTATTATTCAACCATAAAAAGGAATGAAGCACTGACGCATGAATCTTGAAAATATGCTAAGTGAAACAAGCCAGTCACAAAATACTGCACGGTATATGATTCCATTCATTATCAAACTCCCAAATAGAGAAGTCTATAGAGACATGAAGATGTTAGTGGTGGTCTAGGGCTGGGACTGGAGATGTTAGGGGGCTATCTTAATATGTTTTCTGTTGTTATTATATGACTGAATGCTTCAGAGTGGGTAATTTATAAAGCAAATAAATGAATTTCTGACATTTCTTCAGGCTGGGAAGTTCAGGGTCAAGTGGATGCATCTGGTGAGGGTCTCCTTACTAGTGGGGGACTATCTGCAGAGTCCTGGGGTGGAACAGAATATTACCTGGTGAGGGCTACTCACAAGAGATAGAGAAACTGGCTTTTATAACAGGCCCCTCTAATTATAACTAATCCACTCCCTTGATAACCTACTGACCCATTAATCCACGAATAGATTAATCCATTTATGAGGGCAGAGCCCTCTTGCCCCAGTCACCTCCCAAAAGTCCCACCTCTCAATACTATTGCATTAGGGACAAAGTTTCCAACACAACTTTTAGAAACACATTTAAACCATAATTTTCTGCCCTTGGCCCCCAAATTCACATCCTTCTCACATGTAAAACACATTAATTCCATCCCAATAGCCCCAAAGCCTTAACTCATCAACTCAGAAATCCAGAGTCTTACCTGTGAGCCTGTGAAATCAAAACAAGCTATTTACTTCCAACATACAATGATTGGACAGACATGGGGTATACATTCCCATTCTAAAAGGGAGAATAGGCCAGAAGAAGTAACAGGTCCCAGAAAAGTCTGAACTCAGCAGAGCAAATATTAAACCTTAAAGCTGGAGAATAATAACTTCTGACTCCATGTACTGCCTTCTGGACACACTGGTGCAGGGATTGGGCCCCCAAGGCCTTGGGCATCCCTGACTTTATGGCTTTGCTAGGGTCAGTCTATACTACAGCCCTCCCAGGCTGGCTTTGCAGGCTGATAGCTCTGCAGTTTTGGGGTCCTGTGGCAATCCTGCTCCCATGTCTCCATTAGGCATTACCTTTTAGGGGCCCTCTGCAGGGTTTTGCCCCTATGATAAGTCTGCATAGAATCCCAGGCCATCTGATACATCCATTGGAATTAAGATGGAAGCCACCATGCTTCCACAGCTTTTGCTTTCTGTGAGCCTGCAGAATTAATGCCATAAGGATGCTGCCAAAGCTTATGCCTCACGTCTTCTGGAGTACTGGGTACAGTCCCAACATCAGTCACTTGCGCCACAGCTGGAGTTGCTGACTCCTTGCTAGAATTAGAGGACCCAAGGTAGTTCTGGGCAGTGAGCTCTTGAAGGGCACCCAGGGCCTGTCCACTGAAATCATTCTGCCCTCTTAGATCTCTGGGCCTGTGTTGGAATTAGCTA